GATTTAGTGCTAAAGCTTTGAGTAGTTTGATGTTTTTCAAAAATTTATAACAACTTTCATTTGTATCAATGTCTCACTATTCATTCTTTGATTTTTGTATAAGTAACAGGTTAAGTATTAGGGGCTATTATGGATAAACCAATTAAGTGCATACAATTATTTATTAATAAGACAGTGAAGTTACTAGTAACTAATTGTCGAGTGAAATAATTTCTCGCACATATATTAAACATTGTGCTTATTCATATAAACCACATCAGTGTTGTATTGTTAATCGCTCTGAGATACAATAAGTTTTAACCATGGCGACTTGCATTGTACTTGTGAATGTCCCCACATCAAGCGCGATTAGTTTAACACATATTCAAGGTTACCATACACGATACATGTATCCTTATTCAAATATATAACTATAGCAGTCATCTTATAACACGATTTGACGACATGTTTGTTTGATGTATTAATACACAAAATCACCTGGATCGCGTATTATTATCTAATAATTAAACAATGATTATTTTTTTATTGTAAGGAAGACCTTTATTAATTTTTATATTAAGGTCTACTAATTATCTAATACATTTTAATACTCACAATATTTTGTAATTTTACCTGTTAATAATCAAAGTGAATAATCCCTTAACTTTTGAAAGACAAAAATTTCATCAAAAAACACAATTTGAAAAAAATATGAATTGTGTGTGATGGGGTGATGAAAATGTTGAAGGTGCCCAATAAATGGTGTCTTTTCCAAGGGCTGGCACGAGGAGAGTTTGACACAAAGTCTTCCATAGCCGAATAACAGGTTTGTGTAAGAGCATTCATTAGGTAGTTAGGGAAATCTAAGGGAGTGTAACCTTAATTTATTTGACTATTTTGCCCAAAACATTTTTTAGAGCCCAGCTTGAAGGTTTTATACTTTTATAGTTTATATGCAAGGTTATGTGTAAATGAAATCTAAGGGGGTTTCATCATTAATTTTAGTAAACCACAATTGATTAGTCAGTGTAAGCTAATGTAAACATATTTGTAGAGATTAAGATAGACATAATAAAGTTTATAAATATTTGTTGACCATGACAATAACCAATATCACATGTCGGCTAGTAACTATATACACTGCTAAAGTTGTTTAAAAAAAATTGCTACCGATTGTGCTTTCAATACTGGATAACTTTGTTCACCAAACATTATAAATCTTTTTTATTTTCCTGATACATCATACACAATAATAGCGACATACGTGATTATATAGACAACAAAGATTAAATAATAATTGTATAGGGATGGGAATGAATTTGAGTATATTATTAACACAAAAATTACTAACTATAGTAGAGTATTATAGTTAAACACTATCTGTAATCTAGCTATCTACTAGTTATACTAAAGACAAGGACGATAACTGTAATATAGACTCGTGATGTCTCTTTTACTCTTAAAACTGTATCGCCTAATCAAGTTAAGGCCGTAAACCACTTAGGTACCAGATTGTAATTAGTAGTTTTCTTTGCTGTCTAGTTTTAAAAATTTATTATCATAATGAGGTAATAATTTGCCTCGGTTATAAATCATGTAGACACCGCCTTGTTGATGTACTTTTTACAAAGTATATTAATACATACAATGTCAGCTATTAGATTTGGTGTATTAACTTCAATAGATCTTACACATAAGATCACTTCAAGGATTTTAAGACATTCTTAAATATTCCAATCTTTTAAATCAACAAAATTGTATGAGTACATCCAAGAGTAGCACTTCAATAATATATCTAACTACATACTCTTGCGTTACAACTTATAACTCAAGGAGTTGGGTAAGATTATTTGTATTATCTTCTTAAACTCCTTGTGGCGAATACAGAATGCAAATGTAATATGTAAAAAAAAATATGCCTCTTAGACTTATTATAAAAAATGGTCTTTAAATATTTAATTGATTAGAAAAGTCATTTTTGCTTAGTTGCCCAAGTAAACACCAAAGAAGCCTATACTCTTGTATTGCCGAATGTCAGGAGTATTAAACTTAGCATTCATTGCGAAAGTTGGGATTTTGTGAGGGTTTGCAAATCTTTTTGTTTGATTTGTAAGACCATTTTCCCCTTTACACAGCTTCATGCTTGGTCAGACTCTTTGAGAACCTTATTTGTGACTAATAACAAATTTGTACGTACTAATTACAATCTAATGTAAGGGATTTGTCTTTAACCTTCAATGTGTTAGCCATAAAAAAACTGAAGCTTTAAACACTCCACTTATGTGTACGTAATGTATAAACAGATGACCTTTCACTTAACTAAGGATGCCCTTCGTTTAAAGATCCGATAAAACATAGTATCTGCAGAGTTGATCAATTAATTTCAAATTGGATTTTAATGTGATAATATATAAGTTATTAACTACATTTTAATACCCATTACAACAACAAACTCATATAATAATTGTGTTTAGTTTACTTTGAAGGGCCAAACCAATATCCTAAATTTTAGCACAACATCACTACACGCTATAAGATATAATGACAAAGTAATGTCAATTGTATTGAACTAAAACATATCCCATTTTATTTGGCTTGATAATAATTCCAGATCAAACTATTCTGCAGTCTGATAAATTAAAAATAATTTATTTAACTGAAATGATCACCTAATGTGAAAGACATATGCTTACTAAATCAGACGTGATAAAAGAATTTATTTTAAATTTCCCTAATTTAGTAACAAATAATTTGAATATGAATCATTTATAGGCAATACTCATTAAAATCCATCTAAAACTCATATTATAATGGCATAACCATTATGAAGAGTCTTGGATAATCTTTTAATCAACCAACATATACTAGCTAGTTTTTTTGGAATTGACAGTTGGTACTTCACTTTTCACAAATGATTACTTTAAATCAAGAGTAGTTAACTATGACATTTTCACCACAATGAAATATATTTTATTATTTAATGCGATTTTAAAGCGTAGTAATGATCGATGACTTATTCACTCCGTCACTAAATTAAATTCCTAGTTCAATTTTATAATTCTCCCTCCCGTCACATGCAGACATTTAAATTTTTAATGTTGGGACTGAGGAAGTGATATGTTGGTCGTATACGAATTTTGAGTTTGATATGTGATAGATGAGCCGATTATCTAATTTAGTAATGTATTGTGAATTGGGTACTTAATAGATTGACTACAATTCTTGTAATTGTTGGGGTTAAGTGAGTCCGATTCACCGCGAAAACAAACCAAAAAACAAGATAACACTCGCAATAAATAAAACCATAAACATAATTAAATTAATCACAAGATTAAGATAAAGCGATTACCTTTTGGAGCGTGCTTCGCCCAACCGAATGGGCTCTTACTTGAAAGCTAGCTCCAAAAACACGAAGCCTCCAACGTTAATCCACCCGCACCAAAGCATACCGACAAGGCCCAATGTCTTGGGGTTAGCAAGACTCGACCAATAAAACCGGAGTAATTGAGTTCAAAGGCTTTCACTAAATGTGATACCTTTTCCAACTCTTAAGTTTAAGGGTTTTCACTTACTTGTGATGCCCTTTACAACTCTTACCCAAGCATCATTTACAATGCTCTTACTTGAGTATTTATAGGAAATGATGAGAGTATGATTGTCTCTCCCACCAATGTGGGATAGTGGGATTTTCACATTTTATTTTAAAAGCAAAATAAAATTATTTAAGCAAGCTAGTAATAAATCAACAAGTGTCAATTATTCATGAGAGAGCAAGTGAGGACCACTTGGAGAGAAGGGGACCAAACTTGCTCCCCACTCTCTTCCTCTCCATGTGCCACATGTCCTCCCTAAGCTCCCACTTGCTCCTGCTTGCTCACGGCCCAGCTACCTGTGCCACAGCCCGCGCTATAGACCAGTTACCCGTAACAATGGCATACGTAACGCCCGTTTCCCGTTACGAATAGGCCTTTTTTGCCCGTTACGGATAGCTATTTTTCCACTAGTGGAACCAAAGCGACGAATTAATTCGGAAGGAATTAATGAGTCGACTGAGTAATATTTGTTTGGACGTCGAAAATTCGAGCTTAGAGCGTCGAAACCGAGCGTCGAAAGTTGAGTCGGAAAAAATAAAAGACAAGACGTGCAAATAGTAATAAATCAACATAATTCCCAAAATACCCCTAGCATCAGAGTGCCCCGAGCAATCCGAGTGCTAGGGGCATAATGCACAAGCATGGTGGCTAGCATGCGCACCATTGCTAGCAGCCACGACGTCCAAGGGCAGAAAGTTGTAGCAGCCAACTGTTGGAGTGCGAATCCACTATGCTCATGCTAGCAGCCACGACGTCCAAGGGCAGAAAGCTTAGCTCAGCTTGGTGCGCATGCTAGCCACCATGCTTGTGCATTATGCCCCTAGCACTCGGATTGCTCGGGGCACTCCGATGCTAGGGGTATTTTGGGAATTATGTTGATTTATTACTATTTGCACGTCTTGTCTTTTATTTTTTCCGACTCAACTTTCGACGCTCGGTTTCGACGCTCTAAGCTCGAATTTTCGACGTCCAAACAAATATTACTCAGTCGACTCATTAATTCCTTCCGAATTAATTCGTCGCTTTGGTTCCACTAGTGGAAAAATAGCTATCCGTAACGGGCAAAAAAGGCCTATTCGTAACGGGCAACGGGCGTTACGTATGCCACCGTTACGGATAGCTAGTGTTATTTGTAATGGGCAGTGTCCGTTACGAATAACCCGTTATCCGTAACGGGCAGTTGAAATGCCTGTTATGAATAACGGGTTATTCGTAACGGGCATTTCAACTTCCCGTTACGGATAACGGGTTATTCGTAACGGGCATTTCAATGGCTCGTTATGAATAACGGGTTTTTCGTAACGGGCATTTCAACTGCCCGTTACGAATAACAGGTTTTTGTAACGGACATTTTAACTGCCCGTTACGAATAACGGGTTATTTGTAACGGGCATTTCAACTGCCTGTTACGAATACATTTAGCCTCAATTAAAAAAAAATCCCAGCATAATTTGCTGGGCTGTTGGCAGTTTATTATTCAATGTAAATTTTTATTTATTCCACAAGTTTTAATTATTACAGTTGGCCACAAAAAAAAAAAAAAAAAAAAAAAAAAAAAAAAAAAAAAGAAACAACAATTTTTTTATTCCAACCAACAATTTATAATTATTACAATTGGGACAGCATCAAGGGTTCCAACCAAGGCACAAACTGCAGCTGCTTTCACTGATTCCAACCTCTCTTCATTTGGGGTGATCTCACCCTTCTCCTCCAAAGCTCGTTCCGCTTCTTCAACCATTGCTTTTGCTTCTAAGACAGAAGAAAGAATTTATGTCAAGCAAGTCTGAACATAACTCTTCGAACTTTGCCATGGTTGAGCTTGGATGCTTGGTGGATGTGAACAAGATGTCCAATGAAGAGGTTTTGCTCGCATTGATCTTGACCCTGCAGAATTCCAGCAACTATAAGCAACAAAATAGACCAACAGAAAGATCTGATTTCTTTATCAATAAGACCCAATCACGCATAAGGCATGTACTTAACAAGTTATCAGCAACATTATTACTAGCACTACACTTCACAAGAGTAGAATGATAAATTACTCAATAAGAACAGTAAACTTCAGTAAAGGAGAAAAATAAAACAGTAAACAAAATCAATAAAAGAAATTGATCCATCCATTATTTATCACATATGAGCACGGTAATTGTTAGTTTCAACTAAGGTATCTTTTTCCTTAATGCAGAATAGACAGTCCGAACAAGACTGATTGTCATCCGAATGAGCCTGACTTCTTAAAAAACAGAGTATGTTTGACATAATCCATTGTCTCCATTTAACTACATAATGATTAATGATAATGATACAAGTAAAATACGTAGTATTAGACTTTTCAAGATAATAAGAAGCGACTCACTCGAAGGGGACTATATACACAATGCAAATTAATTGAGCCACGCAAAATTGTTGTCTATAAAATTTAGGAATCAACTTGACAAACAAGTCAGAAAAGAGAAGCGCGATCAACGACACTAGGCATTGATATTCCCGAGTTTCTAAGCAAAACGCTAGTAGTAAAACTGTTCAAGCTAACTTAATAAATCAAACAATCTTGGAAATTAAATTAAGTGTTCAGGCTAACTTAATAACAAAAAAAAAGAATTTATAAAGTACGTGCAAAAATGATGTAGAATAATTGGACCACAACTAAAGCATATAGTATAGTACTTGATCAGAATAAGGAGCGAATTTCTTGAATGAGCCAATAAATCATACTTTATCACAATGAAATCTTTGCTATAAATGCTACACGAAGTACTGGAAGTTGAACCCCGTATTAATATTCGATTGAAACAATCTAATATCATGACAAACGCCCCAGAAACAATGATTCAATCATATTCATAAATAAACATCAAGCATAAAGAAGCCCATTATAAGTCCATTATATAAAAAAAAAACATATAATAGAAAAAGTATGTTTGTATATGCTTTATAATATTGCAAGTATGAACTATATACAAATGGATGGATGATATAAACTTGAAAAAAAACATTATATCCTTTACATCTCACCTTTTGAATAGCTTTCCATGAGGCACATTCCTTCCTATGTGGTTTAGCTCGTACAAACTTTGAATGATTTGCCCACACACAAGTCCTCAAGTTTCTGCCGATGACATTGATTAAAATTATAAAGTCAAACTTACAGTTTGAGTTGAAGATAAATGAACTATTTATCTTGCTATGTAATCCTATTGCTCACCTTGTTGGCATCGGGAAGTTCTCTGACTACAACATCAACATTTTGTGCAGTTTCTTTTACCTGAATTGAATGTAGTGAGCATGTTAAATTTTGGGCCATTTATGCATAATTGATATTAGTGTACAGTTTCTCAACAGATATAAAAATGCATATTAAATATGTACAGGCCATATCCTCAGTTGGCAAGCACGGGCAATCCCTTAAATCCGAGGATTGTGCTTATAGCTAAAAGTCATAACAGAGCAATCAAAATTTAAACATTGTTAGAAAAGAAGGGGTGAATTGATTTGAATTACTTACCAGCTTCTCACTCTCAGTTACAGTAGCTACCGGAATGCTGTTTTAAAGTGGTTCGACATGCTGACTACCATCTAATTGTACCCAATAAAGTACTGGACTTCTCCCTACTCACAGACAAACACACAAGGAATAGTTAAGAGAATAACAATGAATCAAATCATGACATGGGCTTAAGAGAATATAAATTAATAATCAGTAGGAGACAATTTACAAACAATTGTTGAAGGCAGTAAAGAAAGTTATACCTTTTGGTCACGCATGGGCTGTTAATGGAACACATTCCAGAATTTTTTCCCTAAATTCAGTAAATCACAGTCATCTGCAACTTATTTGACCACAGATTCGGAAACAGAAGCTTGTTCCAAGGTTTATACTTGTAGATTTTAGATAATAAAAACTGATTTAGTGATAAACATACACTGCTACATAGTAACACTGGTAAATCCATGCCTTTTCCCATCAGTACTTTATTTCTAGAGTATGGAAGAGTTTACATCATGCAAGTATTTGAATCAATATGGCAAAGATGCTTCAATACAGGAAACAAATGGAATCTTGCAATTACATGATTCATTTAAAAGGATGATATGCAGGAGAAGGTATCACGACTATACAGACATTTTAGCAATATTATTAGTCACCTGAAGGAAGGAAAGTAACTAACTATTATAGCACAAGTAATATAGAGTAATATCCTTATTGAGCCTCTTAAACTTCATTGACATAAAATCAGTGTTTTAGTACATAGAAGCACTAGGAAATCCCAAGCAAATTCCACCTAATCAATTCCCAACCCTAATGTAAGGGGATGAGGGTGGGGGTATAGTTGAGCAAAGTCCAGAAAGTAAAGAATACCAGTTTTTGTGTAGTTAATCAGCTGAACAGTAACATTTGTTTCATTATTAATTGCATCTCTGATTTTACGTACTGTTTCCGGATCAGTTTCAGGCCCCTAGAGAAACCTGTAAAGTTGTGTAATTGCAAAACAATATTAAGCATATTGTATACCAAATTTAGCAATGATGTGAAACATATTGACTGATCATGTAGGTCAAATAATAGCAACAGTTGCAAATTTCAGGATCTGATACTTGAAAAAACTAATGGTAACAGCATGGAACTAGATCATATTCATAAATAACTAAGGAAACTTTAAAGCATATATAGCAGGAGCTAAGTCTATTACACATGTTAGCCGACCCCAAATCATTTTGGGATTAAAGCTTTATTGTTGCTGCTGTTTGGGGGAAGGGGGTCTTTGTGCAGAAGTATGTAAACATAGATAAGGAAACTAGTATCCTACTTCAACACGAAACTAAAAATCACTCAACCTGCAATAGTACTAGTGGCCCTCCTTACCAAGAGAACAAACTCTCCTCCCGCATTAAGTTTAAAATCTTTGTAACAAATCTTTGCATCTTCTCCTGAAGAAACATTCAATCAAAATTATTGAGGAAATCTGAAATGCAGCAGATGACTATTAATGAGCATATTTACCCCTTTTTTTTTTGAGAGTTGAGAGAGACTACATAACACATTAACGCTTACCTTAAAAAGTGCATTATCTGTTAGAAATTCAATACCAGGAATATCTCGCATCCACACAGGAAAGCCACTATTAAACAACAAACCAATTAGCCATGAAGAAAATAATTAGTAGTGAAGTTACAAATAACAATAATATTTTCAGTTTTTCACTCAGTAGGAATCACAGGATTTTAAAAAAAATAAATAAATAACCTCTGAGAATAACAAAGGAAGTGAAAACACAAAGAACAAGCGTTATTTCTACCACAACACTTGCCCCAAAACAAAACACATACAACAAGAATTACAATAGTTAATACCCGAAATCATATCATCAATTCAAACGGAACAACTAATGACAATTAACACAACCCCCAACTCCAAAAAATCCCAAATATCGAATTTCGGAACCAAATTCAAAAACCCAGAAATCCCATCAACAAATCCCAAGAAAATCATATCAAATAACACAACCAAAAGACAATTAAAGAGAGAGAGGCAGTGAGGGACTGTTGAGTGAGAAAGAGGTGAAACCCTAAAAAGTCAAGTATTGGGCTTCTCTCATCAGTTGGGCCAAGTTTGGGCATTTACGTGTAATAAGTATCCGTAACAGGCAAAATAGTATTCGTTACAAATACTTATTTATTCGTAACGGACACTAATTTGTCCGTTACGAATACTTATTTATTCGTAACGGGCACTAATTTTTCCGTTACAAATACATACGTATTCGTAACGGACACTATTTTGCTCGTTACTTCGTGACGGACACTATTTTGCCCGTTACGAATATCGTAATTGTAACGGGCAAAGCTTTGCCCGTTACAAATAGCCTGTTACAAATGAGATTTTTTCCACTAGTGTTCGTTTTCTGCTTTATTGTGACTCGATGGGTTCAGTCAAGAATAAGCTGTAATATTAATTATGCATTAATATTACTGATCGGAAGCAGCCCCCACTCAGGCATTTTGATCACTTGACCTTACTGAATTTATTAGCTTTCTAATAATTCTGAACCCACTATCAGAATAATATACTTGTTCGAAGGACACTATTCCTTTCAATTTGCCACTTGTCCTTCCGTACAAGTGTGCTTTTAGTGTATAGCCATTTTCCTTTGTCGCTTAATGCCTGTTCATGAACTTTATGGTAATATTATATTTTTATTTTTTCCTTTGTCATCCTTATTACGTCTAGAAGTGTGTCTTGATTCCGAGTCCGACTATCAATAAACAGATGATTTCTAAAACAGACCTTGTAAGCAACAAAGACATCTTCCCTATTTTTTATTGGGGGACATTTCCAGTCTTAGAATATAGCTTCTCTTACTTAGAGGACCTAGCCGCAGAGTGATGTCGTTATAATCCCCTATTACGGCAGACGTTTGACAATCATCAAAGCGGACTAGTACTCAAACGAGAAAGCTCACAATACTCATGGTCAAGGAAAAAAGGTTTCGATAGTAATAATGTGAAGTATACTTATGACAATTTTTAATCTCTTAAAGTATTCTCATAGGTCGATCCAGTATGGTTCTAAACTAATACATGTGTAAAATGATTCATGACAATCATGTCCTTGTAGCACATGAAACGGTTCTATAAATCAAACTACACACTAATCTCAATTGGTCATTAATCATCTATTATTTAAATGACCTCGATTAGGGATAATTTTCAATTATAATATTCAACGTTCACTTAATAGGTGTTTCCTTACCAAGACTGGTCTTGATACTCTATTTCGAATATTTCAAAAATCGAATGAACTCATTATTTAATTCTAAACCACAATTAAATAGTCAATGAAGTGATTTAAATTTTATGAGAAATTTAATTACTCTAAAAATTGGATGGTTCATCATAGTGCTTTACATTAAAATTGTCCAAAATTAATTAAAACATTAAAATAAGGAAATCAAAGCCAATCTCCAATGTCCCCGATTCCCATTGCCTCAACGTGCTTGTTGTGCTTCACTTGAAGCAAAGGTTTAGTCAGTGGATCGGCTACATTGTCATGCGTTCCAACTTTACAAATTCTGATTTCACCTTTTGATTTTCATTCTCGAATCATGTGAAACCTTCGCTTGATATGTTTGACCCTTATGATGTTCTCTTGGCTCTCTGGCTAGAGAAATAGCTGTATTGTTTTCACAATAGAGGTCTATCGATCCCTCAATGGAGGGTACAACACCAAGTTCACCAATGAACTTGTGAATCCAAACTGGCTCCTTAACTGCCTCAGATGCCGCCAGGTATTCAGCTTCAGTTGTAGAATCTGCAGTTATGCTTTGCTTAGCACTCTTTTAACTAAACGCTCCTCCATTAAGACAGAATATGTGCCCAGACTGTGACTTGAAGTCGTCTCTGTCTGTCTGGAAGCTTGCGTCGATATAACCCTCAAATACTAATTCATCTCTGCCACCATACACTATGAATTTATCGTTGTTCCTTTTCATGTACTTTAGGATATTTTTGGCCGCAGTCCAATGTGCCTCTCCTGGATTTGATTGGTATCGGCTCGTAGCGCTCATGGCATACGACACATATGACCTAGTACATATCATGGCATACATGATCGATCAAATAAGTGAAGCATAAGGAATCTGATTCATCCTTTCTCGCACTTTAGGTGTCTTTGGACACTAATTCTTACTTAGGGTTATGCCATGCCACATGCATAGGTGGCCTCTCTTGGCTTTTTCTATGCCGAATTGAGTTAATACCTTATCAATATAAGTACTTTGACTCAATCCTATCATCCTTTTTTATCTATCCCTATAGATCTTGATGCCTAATATGTACTGAGCCTCCCCTAAGTATTTCATTGAAATATATTTTTCAAGCCAAGCCTTTACAGACTCTAACAATAAAATGTTGTTTCCAATGAGCAAAATGTCATCGACATATAAGACTAGGAAGGCGATGTAACTCCCACTGACCTTCTTGTAAACACAAGACTCAACTTGATTCTTGATAAAACTAAACTTAGTAATGGCTACATCAAATCGCAGATTCCAACTTCTACTTGCTTGCTTTAATCCATAAATGGTTTTCTTAAGCTTGCATACCTTTCCAGCGTTGTTTTAGTCGAAAAATCTTCAGGATGTGTCATATACACAGTTTCTTCCAAAATATCATTTAGGAAGGCGGTTTTAACGTCCATCTGCCATATTTCATAATTTTAATATGCAGCAATCGCTAGCAGGATCCGAACGGATTTAAGCATTGCGACACATGCTTTTGAGTGGCTCCCTACTTTCCTTGTCCCTAATTGTATTATGTCAATTCCCACTTCTTATGAGTTCCAAGCATATTCGCCACATGCTTTTAACGTAGGCGCACTTCGAACGACGCCTACAATTTGGCGACTCCACTGGGGAGGATTCTTGGTTATTTATCCATTTGAGTGATCGGTTTTTAGTTGAGATGAGTGGATGAGACTTAAAAGATTCTTGAAAAATATTCCTATGATTTAATTGGCATTGTCACACATGCATATGTATTTTAGCTTACCTATTTTGCAACAATAGTACGTGTTCTACGTATGTGGCTAGCCCGGGGAATTTATGCTCTATAAACCCAAAACGCTCATGGAAATAAGGGTTCATCCGAGTTTTTAAACCCACTCAAACCATGGAGTCGAGTTCGATTTCATCACGAACTCGCGGAGCCGCCCGTTGGCATACACTCTCAAGGGAGGCTGCCTTGCTAACGCATCCAAACTCTTAACCATGGTACTCTTTGACACCCAAAACCTTGACCATAGTCGAACATAGAACTTGACTTTAGGTTGCGTACTTCATTGCATCATGCGTGACAATATGCTTATATGTGCATTTTTTTATTCACTTTTTTTAATTATTTTTTTTCTCTTATCAAACCCTTTTTTTTTTAGAGTCAAGTCATAGATTTTTTTAATTGAGTTATAACCCGAATTTTTATTCTCGTATCCTGAACAAAAGTCAACTTGTTTTGGTAATAGCCGGAGTTCTATAAAGATTTACGTGTCGTGCCACCTATGGATCTGTACCCCCGAGTTTTTCTTTGATTTAGAGTTAGTTTTGTCTCAATCAGAGTGACAGATCAAAAGTTGTAACTTATATACTACAGCATGTCCAGTTTAGTAGTCTTTTAGCTTCAACTTTCTTTCTTTTAATTTCTTTTATATCTTTTAGTGTCAAGCTAGTATTAGCCAAGCCCTTTAATCCGTGTCAACTTGTATAACATAGGATTATAGATTTTTATTTTTATTTTTTTATACCCATGAGTCATAACTCTTCTAGAATTCTAGTCATCTTCTCAATTTCTTTTGATCGATTTTTGTGCTAACCTTAACATGTGTTCTTTGTCTTTGATGGTTGTTGATGTTATTTATGACTAACGATTTCCAATGGACCGTTTTCACCTAGTAAATAGCATAAACATTAAAATTGGACAAAATTAATCAAGTTAGTTTGTCTTTTAGTCTTTCGTGCTATTTGGTCATTGGGTCTTTGTTTTTCACAACGTCCTCATGTCTAGCCATACGATCATACCACGAGTCTTATAGAATCACTTAATCACTCACGAGTCAAGTACAGTCCACACACTTTCTTTATGTTCCGACTCGAGTCATGCACCAGGTCGTTTATGATCGTATACAAGGTTCATGCACCCTTTTTTCGTCATAATAAAAAAATGAGTGGAGTTTTCTCACCTATTTTCAAATGTCTATTTTTTCCTTCCTTTCCTATCTTGATCAATGAGTCAAACAATTAAATGAATTTATTTCATTTCACAGCACTTGGTCAAGGAGCAGGGGTAGATTGGTGATGAGTGTCATTTATGGCACTCATTTGGCTTCTCTTAGGATGATTTTCATGCTCTTTTATAGCTCTTTCCTTTAGTTTTCCATAGTTTTGTTCTTTATTTCTTTAGTTTGTTCTTTCCTTAGTTAGTTTTCATTCTTTGTGCATTTCTTTGTTTATTTTGTCTTTTTCCCTTTTATTTGCTTGTTTTCGTGTATTTTTAGGTTGTGATCGTGTTCCGAGGATTCCCGAGACTTCCTCTCATATTTCTCATCATTTTGGATGCCTCTTGCTTGTCATTTGGAGCTCAAGTTTGAAGGAATGCAAGGAGCAAGTTCATGAGATCGGTGCATGCATGCGGTGGGGGCATCATCTTTGGCATAAACCCACTAAAATGGCCATTTCAAGACTGCCTACCTTAGTGTTCATCATCATCACCAAGACGAGCGCACGATGATGAGCTAGGACAAAGAAGAGGATTGCTCCCCTGTTTCCAGGTGCGGGAGCGCACGAGGGTGGTGCGGCCGCGCACCTGGGTTGCACGGGAGCGCCTGATGCAGATGCGGGCGCGCCTGCCATGACCCTTGTTCCGTAGCCCTTTTCTCGCGGTCCGCCTCTCCCTTGTTGCGACCGCACATTTCGGGGTTTCTTTTGGACGATCTAACTAACTTTTCTCTTGTTAGTTTTACTATATATAGTTTTTCCTTCTATTTTTAGAGAGAGAATCATTAAAATAGGATTCAAATTAGTTTTAGATCAAATTATAGAGATTTTTAGAG